TCTGAAACACATGGATTTATTTCAAGTGAACATTAATCCACATGGACTTGGAGGACACAGTTAGCCTTGTATTAGAATTACCTATGAGCATGTCTGTCTCCTTACACACTGCAGAAGCCATTGGATAATCAAATATCATTCATCTGTTTTAACCTCTAGCTCCTAGAGTAGTCCTTGACACATATCTGGCAATTAATAGATGAGATGAATATAGAGCACTCCTAGAATTAAAGTCTTCCTCTTGCTGTAATAGAGGTGGTTGGTAATGACAAAACACTTCCCAGTTCTTTTTGAGATGGAGCAAATAGCCATTACTTATTAGTTATTTATAACATATACTTTCAGAAAATAGATTCAGTGAATTTACACTGGAGCTACCATCAGATGTTTTCTTTTTTTTTTAATTTTTATTTATTTATGATAGTCACAGAGAGAGAGAGAGAGAGAGAGAGAGAGAGATGCAGAGACACAGGCAGAGGGAGAAGCAGGCTCCATGCACCAGGAGCCCGACGTGGGATTCGATCCTGGGTCTCCAGGATCGCGCCCTGGGCCAAAGGCAGGCGCCAAACCACTGCGCCACCCAGGGATCCCCATCAGATGTTTTCAAAGAGGAATGACAAGGCATCAAGATAATAACACTGTGAGTTATTACTTTGCCTCTTTATACATAGTAAGAATGGAACATGAGCTATATTACAGTTTTTTGTGAATATTTTCACTTTTTTCCATTAGAAAGGGGCTTAATGGTAAAGATAAGAATTAATATGTAGTATTTACTTAGTATTATATTGCACATCTAATTAAATGTTGGGCTTGTAATATATAAAAAAGCAATGCCTCAAACTTTTATGACTTTGTTACATGTGTACAGGACTTGTAAAGTTACATTTACACTACTGCAGGGTTAAACATGCAGGAAGATAAAAGTGAAATGGCTAAAACACAGAAGTGTTTCTTTTGGAAGAGAGATTGAGTTATCATGAGCCCAGCAGTAGACATTATAATACAAGCAGACCTTCTCCTTGTCTAAGCCACAGGCAAATAAGGTGAATAAGATCTTATTCAGCAAGATCTTAGCTAGGAAATCCTTTGTGGGTAGTTATTTGTTGAAGGCTGAAATGATTTCCAATTTGGAATTTATAAATCAATCATTCTTTGATAGACCTGCATTTCTTAAACATAATTTGAATTCCAGAGCAAGCTCAGTCTCAGGAAGTTCTTATGTTTTAGAGTAAAGTCTGTGAAATGTACTCTACTTGAATTTCTTAATTTTCAGTATTTGGGACCAACCTTATATTACCTTTGGAGAGGCTTATGCATTTCTCTCTAAGATTTGAGCCAGGGCAGGGACAGTGTACTTGTTTCTTATGCACTATAGTACTTAACATATGTAAAAATGGTAGCTGCAATTTCCATTTATTGAACATTTATTTAATGGCCAGCAATTACATTAATAATATCAAAATATCAATTAATAAATTCTGTTTAATGTAGGCATGGCTCTAGGCACTTGAAACACATTACAGTATTTGATGCCTACACTAGCTTTACAAGGTGGATTTATTATATCCATTGTAAAGGGGAGAACTGGAATCAGAGAAATAAAGGAATCTACCTGGGAAGTAGCAGAGCCAAATTTCAAAGTGAGATTTGTCAAATTCCCCTAAGTCTGTTTCCTCTCTTCCATGGAGTCCGCACTCAACAGATGTTGAATGAATGAATGCTCTTCTTTAAAATCTTTGTAAACTATGTGACAGTTGCCCAGTAATGCATGTAATTTTAAGGATCTCATGGGGCATTTAAACTTTAAGGAATTAATACTGTGTTCTGGGGATCCCTGGGTGGCGCAGTGGTTTGGTGCCTGCCTTTGGCCCAGGGCGTGATCCTGGAGACCCGGGATTGAATCCCACGTCGGGCTCCCGGTGCATGGAGCCTGCTTCTCCCTCAGCCTGTGTCTCTGCCCCTCTCTCTCTCTCTCTCTGTGTGTGACTATCATAAATAAATAAAAATTAAAAAAAAAAAAGAAAATCTTTTAAAAAAAATACTGTGTTCTGAAGTAGACATTTTATTTCTAATAGCACAAGAGCAAACATCTGGAGATTACATTAATTCATAAGGTTTGGGACTATCTCACTGGTTCTAATAGACCTTGTTTGTTTACACCTCCACACAATACATTGATTTGCTATGGTGCACCCACCCAGGAGGGGACTCCTTATTCACACATGCCAGATCATCACTTTGATAAGCACATGTTCAACTGAAATCACCTCGAGTAGGGTTTAGGATATAAAAGTGTGATGAATTGACACATAATTCTCATCATGATTACATGCAGAATGTTACGAAATTCTCCTGACCTCTATGGGTAAAGAGTTTTGTCAAACACTGTGTCTCATCACTACAGGAAAGAGCTCACCAACTGTCACTGACCATGAAGCTTGAATACAATTTTGAGAACAAAGAGGAAGTGATCCTGTGTTACATAAGGATAATCTAGACTTTTTATATGGGTTCTTATTTAAGTAAGGCTGAATAAAGCAGTGAACAAAGAGTAAGGTTTATAATTTGTACATACACCATTTACTATATGCCAAGAAATATTAAAAGTGGTCTACTTAAATTTTCTCATTCAATCCTCCCACCTAACCCTATGGGAGAGGCACTGTTAACTCCATTTTATGGATGAAGGTGCTGAGTGGAGAAAGTAGCTTGCCAAAAGGCACCAACCCGAGGAGTGGAGGCAAGATTGAAACCAACATCTGCCTAATTCCAGGGCCCATATTTTTAACTTCTTTCCAAATTGCTTCTGAGAAGTCTTTCTTTACTCAAGGGTTGAGGAACTTTGACACAGTATAGGATGTGTATGAGCATCCGAGACTTCACATATTCATAGCTGACTTTCTTCTCCTGTCTTGTTCCACCACCCTGGCCCTCCCTGATCCTCCTCTTCTTTCTTTGCCCCTCATTCTTTTTCATATGGTCCCCAAACCTGAAAAATTGGCATCTCTCAGTGCCGTACTATTTTATTTGTTGCCAAGCTCTGCAACTTCTTCATGTACCATGCCTTGAATCAGTCTCTGACTTTTCCTACTGAATTCTCACTACTTCAGTTCAGAGCTCATTGCTTCTTATCTAGAAACCTGAAGTCATTTTCTGACTACTCCTTTACTATTATTGTTGTTGTTAGTACTATTATTAATATCACATCTTGTCATTGTTCTAAGATTCATCCCAAAGTTAAGCTGTGGTGATTCCTGTCCCCCTAATTAAAAAAAAATCCTTTCATCTCTTTTGCATTTGGAATTATGTCCATGTTTTTCACGTAAGGTTGTGGGGAGATAAATTGAGACCTCTTTTCCCAGGGGCTATCTGAAAATACTTGGAGATTTTTCCATCGGTTCTCAAGGAAGTTTGGAATTCAAACGGCTCCAGGAAGTAAGTCACATGCTTCTTATCATGAGTCCTGGGGTGTTATTTTACAAGCAGGGCAGTCAAAACCATGTTACAAAGAGAAACATGATTTCCTCATAGGAGACTAAACTGTGTTGTTTTTAGAAGAAAATTAATGTTTGCTTTAGTGAGATGTGTTTGCCTTGGAGTGACTAGGGAGGAACCCAACTGTGGCCTTTGATGGTTCAACATCTTCCTACCACAAGGAAGCAGAACACACTTACCCTTCCTTAGAGCCTGGAAATTCTTAAGAAAGGAAAGACTGCTTTAGTACTTGGTTGAATATCAAGGCTCCAATGCTGGCAAAGTTCAAGAAGGAGAGGAAGTTTCTTTTCCTAATGAGAGAGGAGTGAAGCTTTGAGATGAAAGAGTTTGGGATCCCATGTGTGGAGAATTGAGATTGAAAAGGCAATTGTTAGATGATTGCCAGGGGGATCTAAAAGGTGAACCATGGCTGGGAATGAGAAGGACAATCTCCCTTTCTGTCACTCTCTATAAGCATAAACTCTTATTCTGATTTTTCCTTTTCCTTCCTTTTCTTTTATCCTCCTTTTTCTCCCCCTCTTCCTCTTTTCCACTTACACTCCATCATCTATAAATCAGTTTGTCTGATTATTATCTATCTCCCTCTACTAAAATATAAGCACCTGAAGGCACATAACTTTATATTAATCTGGTTGTCTCTCCAAAGTCTTGATCAGAGAGCATGGCTCAAGTTAGGCACTGAGTAAATGTGTATTGAATGGATGAAGGCAGGCTAGAATAAAGGAAGGCATGAAAGAATCTTCAGAAGGAAAAAAACTGCGAAATTTTACCCATCATGTAGACTCTGCGGGCCTCAGTTGGACTCAGTTTTTCTATACCATTCTGCTTTGAGAAGCTTATCTGACTTTTTAAAAAGCAAGCTACTTCAATAAGGCTAATATTGAGCAAAAGAAGTAAGGCACAGAGAATGCATAGTATGATTCCATTTATATAAAGTTTAAACCGACAAAAAGAAGCCAAATTGTTAAAGGATGTCTTTAAGGTTTGTAAGGCCACTCTTAAAAAAAAAAAAACAAAACAAAACAAGGAAATGATTATCAACTCCAGGATGATGAAAGTTGGGATGAAAGTGTGGTGGGCTGGGCTATTTTCAGCCGGTGTGTACCCTCACAGTTCTCACGGGTTGCTTGCTCTCAGTTGTACTATTCCAACTTTTCCATGAACTTGAATATATCTTTTTTTTTTTTTTATTTTTTAACTTGAATATATCTTGAATAATACCTGTAGTGGTTTGGAAGGTGTTCTGCTTACTATTACTGTATAACAAACTATCCCAAAACTTAATGATCTAAGGAAACATTTTATTGTGTTCATAGACTTTGTCAAAGAGTACTGGACTAATTAATTGCTGATCTAGGGCTTGAATCAAGCCCCAAGTTCCAGAGTTACTTTGTGTACTCTGGCCCTTTACTTCTCTTTCACTGCATTTTTTCCCTCTTCAGCTCCAAGTATTTTGGTCTTCAGGGAATCAGAAACAATAAAGGATGCCATTCTTTTCCTAGGTAAACTTCAAAGCCGGAGATGGCCTTTAACCAGTCTATTGATTTGTCTGAGAGCTTCCACCTTCTAGACTCTGCCTCAGGCCAACGTTTGATGAAGAGGAGAAGAGAACAGAAGCACAAACATAAGGTAAGGGTAACAAGTCAGCTGAAACCTTGAGTAAAAATTCATTATTACAATAGGAGGGAGGAACAGTTTCTTCTCAATAAACTAGTCAAAGAGGAGTCGTAGATAAGATTATACAGTGACACCCACATCCAGGAATCCAGACTTTGAAACAAGGCAGTTTGTTGTTTTGGTTGTATAAGGCATGAATATAAACTCATGGTAAAACAAGATCTAGGGTTCCCATAGGGGTTTATCAGTCTTCATGCTGGGTGTGCTCTCTTACTTGGAGGTGATGTTGACAGGTTTGCTGACAGACGGACTCTCTCTCTGCCTGGAGCACAGACACACTCTGTACGTGGCATCTGGAGGCAAGACTGTAGGGTAGAAAAAGGTTGAGAAGAGTTAAAAAGCATAGACCAGATTGGCCATTTATACTCAAAGTGTTATTTGCTGGTTACTTTCTTAAAAATGGATTCTCAAAGTAAAAAGAAACTTACACCCATAAAACACTATGATGGATCCCTTATGCTCATGCTAGTTATTGGTCTCATTTCAGAATTTTCTCACACTCACATCTATCTACCCAGTGGGCAAGAAGACATGGCCATAGAGCATGTGGTGAAATGTTTGCATTTGTAAAAAATTTGGGGCAAGAGTAATAATTTTTTTTTTTTTTTTTTTTGCCTTGGGGACTGCTGCAGAGCTTAAAGCATCAAAGAATTTCTCTAGAGCACCTATTCAGGTTAGTTTATACTTGTCATCAAAAAAAAAAAATTCTGATGTTTAGAACGTTGATGAGAATATGAAATACCTCTCACAATACTTTTTCTTTCTGATGTGATTTCTAATATACAACCAAACCTGTGGGTTAACATCACTGCATAATTTTTCACAGTGATGACTTCTGAGCCCTCTTCCATCAAATACTGTATGAATGCCCTTACTGTTTGCACTTGAAGAGACTTTCCTCACACTGCCCATCACTGCAGCATTTCTTGCTCAGTTCTGGGTGGCTACCTGCTTTTTTCTTTATACCTGTGCTTCTGTGTACCTCTTTGCTGGCTCCAGGCCACCCACACATCTCTCTTCCTCTTGACTCTGTAGGAGGCAGGGAGCATCTGCGTGGGGAAGGTGCCGGCTCACATTAATCTTACTCTTCTCTTTGGCTCTTCTCCATGATATGGATTTTAAATCACTTTCAGTGGAAGTTAGCAAATAGTCATATATCAATAAAAGGCTGGCAGTAGGCTTTAAAAAGAAAGGCCAAAGAAGTCTAGATAACCCACAAAGTATTGTTAATTATGCTGTTGTTAATCACTTTCTTTTTAAGATGGTAGGAGTAGAATTTTAGAAGTTAGAATATAAAGAATATTTCATTTTGGATCAACCAAGCTGATTGTGAAATCTTCCAGAACCAAATTATCTCTCCACATCTCTCTCTTTCTGATTTTTTACTACATTTTGGCTCATGGTATTTTTGTTGAAGTCCTGTACTAATTATATGTAAAATATAATAGTTGAGCTTGATTGCACATATTGCTCCATAGTCTTTAATGCATTTTATTGTTTGCCTAAGGGTTAAATATAATTGTTTTAATTCTTTACTTAAAGAGGTAGAAGGTAAAATGACTGGCACATGAAGTCATTTTTTTCAATATGTGATTTGTTAACTATCCCTAAAGTATCTGGTATTAAAGGCAAGAATTTGAACAAGAGTGGAGCATCCAGTTATATATAATAAACTGTTCAGTGAAATATGTCTGCAGGCTAATTAAAGATACTGAGACATTTTAGACTGCTCAGTACTTTTTTTATTCCAGCAATTTGGCATGTACAGGCCCTGTCTGAACTTCTAAATTAACGTTTACAGCATGAACATAACTTTGCCTGCTAGACAGCCAATCACCAGTATTGTGTTAAAAACAAAAACAAAAACCAGCTTGTGAATGTGAAAGGCTGTAGGGAGAAGTGGCCACAATGGATGAAACCATTACAAAGGATCCAGAGAGTGTGGCTATTTTGTAGTTTGAAACTTTAGAAGAAAGCAGAAATCCATGTTCCAGTGCAAGCCAGGCACTATTTACACAATTCTCTGATTAAAACTGAAATGATAATATAGTTGTTCCTCTACAGGTAGGAGCTTTATTATGGAATAAATTTAAAATCAATACCTGTGAAGTTCAAGAGGGGGCCATTGCATGAAAATGTTGATAGTAGTCAAAAGTCCTGCAATAAATGCCTAAAATGTGGAAATTTGCACTCAACTTTGCATTTAGAGATGAAGCTAAAATAAAGGCTAATATGTAAGAAATGGGGCTGTGTAGAGGATCTTTGAAACCTAGATCTTGCACAAAATTTGGGGATCTTCTTGTAAGAGAATCTACCTTTCTTCTTACCTAATTCTCACCTGGTAACTCCCTTTAGCCAACGGGCCAGGCCCCTCTTGGCAGGGTTAATCTTTCACAGATAGCGCTTGGTGAGAAACAGGGCATTTCTCTCTCAGAGACCATCCAGAGATGAGCAGTCCCACCTTGTTCCTTCACTGTGATTTCCCTCCATACCAAGTCATTTGAGGTTTTATGAGACCAAGTGTACTTGTCTTCTTTCATAAGAAGATTGTACAGCCTGGACTAGACACAAAACCCCAGAAGTCCCTTCTAGCCACTGTGACTCCTTCCCCCAAGTCCTCAGGAGACCCCTTCGTAAGGTCTTTGCTATTTATTTTTAAAGATTTTATTTATTCATGAGATAGAGAGAGAGAGAGAGAGAGGCAGAGACACAGGCAGAGGGAGAAGCAGGCTCCATGCAGGGAGCCCCACGTGGGACTCAATCCTGGTTCTCCAGGATCATGCTCTGGGCTGAAGACGCACTAAACCACTGAGCCACACAGGGTGCCATAGGTCTTTGCTATTGAGGTCAGAGTGTTGTCTTTTTCCCCATCTTATTCTTGAAACTAAAAATGACTTTACTTTTTTGTCTGTATTATAGTTTCATAACATTGCTCCTTTTTGCTGCTAATTAATTTCATTGGCTATGCCTAAGATCAAAGTTGATATATCCTTCAAACCTCAGAGATTTTTCCCGGTTGGGTACCAAGTGATCACCAACCCCACCACCCTGCCATTTTACTTATTCCGTTTGGGGGAAATCTTGGGCTGGTCGTTCTCCTCCTTATGAGAACATAGATGCTTTTTGGAGACATTTGCTGAGGTCAACTATCTGTTGCTAAAGGACTTTTACATTTTACACTCTCCCTTCTGCTTTTCTACTAATAGCAATGAATAATTAGCATCTAGCCCCACAACGTGAATAGATGCATGCAAGAGAACTGAATTCACCAAATATTAGTAGACCATCTGAAAAAAAAATGACTCCTAATTTTCTAATAAATAACCTTGTAATTAAATACAAACTAATGAATATTTTTGTGAGTGATTATTTGTTAGATTCATTTGTTACTGTTTAGATTTATTATGGGCATTGATTTTTTTTCAGTCTCTTTTTATTTTAGGTTTTGAATAGGCAATACATAGATATGTTTCAAAACTGAAAAGTATATAAAAATGCATACACTCAGAGAAGTCTCACTCCTGTTTACCCATTCATATAAATAGTCTTTGCCATTAGTTTCTGGTTTATTGACCCTGTGTTTCTTTTTCCAAAATTAGTATAAATATGTGTATGTTTATGTATATAATGAGTATTTCTTTTTTCTTATGCAAAAGCATATATGCATATATATATATTTTTTTCTCTTTCACAATAGTAGCAGTTTGTAGAGACCTTGTTCTTTTTTGTTAGTTTCTACAGAGTACTCCGTTTTGTAAATATTGTAATAAATATTTTTGGCCAAAATATCCCAAAATAAGACTAAAAATGATAAAAGCTATACATTATAAAAATAGTTAAAAGATTAAAATTCTTTGGAAGAAGCATATTGGGAAAGATTACACAAAATTAGAGTTAGTGTAAGTAGTCATCATAAAATAAAACTCAAAGAGCTAAAACTTCATGTAATAATGTTTATGAATCACTAAAATCTGATATCAGAATAAAATCTGATATCAGAATCTTAACAAAATTTAGACATGTCAAATTTGACCTGGGGAAATTGAGTTTGTTAGAAGAGCTTCTAAATAAAAATCATAATAGCAGAAGCTATAATTAGGAAAATATGATGTTTTCAAGAAATCCAATAGAATAATCATAGCTTGAGAATAATATTTAAGTTGGAAAAAAATCAATTTCAATGAAAGTAATTTCAGTTACATTAAAGATAAAAATGAAAAAAAAATTAACTACCCTGTATAGAAAATTTATGAAAGAATCAACTTGGCTTAATGGCATAAGCTCCAGAAAATATTTTTGTGATGAAAATTGATTACATTTATATAATCCTGCTTAACGTAACTTATATGGGATCAAATTGTCTACTGGGGCATAAAATGTCAAAATAAGCTGTTCTGGTTTGTCCTAGGGTCCTTTTCTGTAAATTCGGCCCTTGATTTTTTCTCACCTCCTCTTCTCTTTTCTAGAGTCCTTGATGTAACATTTCAGAGCTGCTTAACTATGAATCAACTCATCTTTTCTTTGAAGCACTTCTTTCTCCTTCCCATTTTTCAACAACTCAAAGCCTCTTTGCTCTTCAAGCTCTTGACTTCATCTGGCAGATTCGACCTCCTTCCTTCCTTTCATCACACATCATATTTGCTGATATTTGCATATTTTAAATATTCATTAGCATGATGAAGAAATCAACCAGCCTTCCCTGCAAGTGCCCTTATCACCTTCCTTTGAAATCTATGCTGACCTTTTTGGCTCCCTGCCTCTTCTCTTTTCCTTCACCTAAATTTCCGATTCTCCAAAGCATGTTTAGTCCAGCTGTGGGACCAATCTTATTTTTGGTTGGGGGAGCCCTAGTAGAAGCCCCTGGTGACGAGCTCCAATAATAAAGCATCTCGCTAACATGGCTGCCATTTCTAAGTTGGCAATGTGCCCTGAGTAGGTAAACATATTGAGGCTTGTGCTTCGATAAAACTTCCATCATGTATCCTAATTCCAGAGTTTATATTCTTGTCTCCTTACTTTTTGCCACAGTTTCTGTTTTGATAGCATGCTTGGTATTCCCGCCTCACTAGGACTGCATTGTCAGCCTTTATAAGGACCTAGAATCCTCCTCTTGCCTTGTAGACTCAGGCCTGGGGCCCTGTTTCTAGAGATTCCTGATGTCTATCAGCCACTTGCCTGGCTAACTTCTGAGTATTGCCTGCTCTACACTACCCATTTCCAGGCTTCTGTCTACTGGAACACCTACCCTTAATCTCATGTTGAAGTTCCCAGGCACTGACCATTTGACTAGAATCCTCTCCTATCCTCACACAGTTTTCTCCAGATAGGATCTAGGTCAGGTTATGCTTCTTTCCATTTCCGGGTACTGGCCTCACCCTCTAGCATCTGCTCAATTCTGGGAAATAATTTCTTTTATATATATATTTTTTTTGAATTTTTATTTATTTATGATAGTCACACAGAGAGAGAGAGAGAGAGAGAGAGAGAGGCAGAGACACAGGCAGGGGAGAAGCAGGCTCCATGCACCGGGAGCCCGATGTGGGATTCGATCCCGGGTCTCCAGGATCGCACCCTGGGCCAAAGGCAGGCGCCAAACCGCTGCACCTCCCAGGGATCCCCTGGGAAATAATTTCTTCTTTTTTTTTTTAATAAATTAATTTTTATTGGTGTTCA